CCGTGCACCAGCACTAGAGCAGGCCCATGCCACCGTGCACCAGCACTAGAGCAGGCCCATGCCACCGTGCACCAGCACTAGAGCAGGCCCATGCCACCGTGCACCAGCACTAGTTGGCACTTCACAGTCAAACCTTGCCTATGGGTAGGATGGCGGGTGGCTCCCCCAGGAGGATATGCTATGAAATTTGAGGGCTTGCGCAGTCATTCAGGTGGTATAGCAGGGAGGGGAAATCTCAGACCGGGGAAGCAGAAGGGAGGGGCAGTTGCCCTCTGGCTTCCCGGTGAGAAAATTCTGGAGGGTTTCACAGGAGGGTCCCACAAATTCTGTTCCTGTTGCATAGGCCTGTGGGCCTCCCTGACTGTGCTGGTCCACAGTGGGCTCATGGGAGTCCTGGAGGGTCCAGACGCTGGAGCAGCATGGGTACCATCTGTTTAGCTATGTGATTGTCAAGACTGCTGCTCTCCTGGAAGATTCCAGTTTCCTCGGTCCCTTCCCACTCCGTTTTTACTGGGTAGTTCTTTCTTACTGACTCAAAGGAGTTCTTCAGAGAGCAGAGGCAGGAGCCGTCCATTGTAGGCACAGCAGATAGGGCAAGCTGTGGCCTTCTGGAAACGTAGGTAAGGTCTCACTGGAAGGCCCTGCCTGACCTGAAATTCATGGTGTACACCAGATGGCTTCAAATAAGCAGACCTGCCCTTTGTGTGTTAGGGTTAAAGTCATGCACCACCACATGTATTGTGTGAGTCAGGCTGTGGTGCACACACCTTTAATCCCGGCACTCGGGTGGCAGAGGTGATCTCTGAGTTCAAGGCCAGCCTGTTCTACAAAGTGAGTTCCACCTTTATTAGGGTCCTGGGTATCAGACTCTGGTCACCAGTCTTACACAGCAAATGCTTTTATCCATTGATCTATCCCAAACTGTCTGTTGTTTGATGTTCACCCTGTCTTCATGCCGTGACAGGAATTTCTGACCACATGAAATTGACCATATTTCCTTCTCTTTTTCTTTTTCTGTTTTTTTGAGACAGGATTTCCCTGTGTAGCTTTGGAGGCTGTCCTGGAATTTGCTCTGTAGACCAGGCTGGCCTCAAACTCACAGAGATCCGCCTGCCTCTGCCTCCCGAGTGCTGGGGTTAACGGTGCCGTCTCTTTAATTTGTTGGTTGCACTTTTTTTGTCTTGTAAGTAAGCTGTCTATACAAGTTTTTGCCCATTTCATTATTGTTTGCTAATTGATTTGGCTTTCTTTTTTCATGTGGTCTTGTGATAAATAATTCTTAAGATTTCTAGGGCCACATTACATTATCAACTTTTTGTTATTAGTGTTGAAAAATCCCCTTTTGCCTGGCAGTGGTGGCGCACGAAAAACAAACAAAAAACAAAACAAAAAAGGAAGGAAGAAAGAATCCCCTCTCTACTATAGGATCATGAAGGCTATTAAAGTGACCTGTAAGCCTTCTTGGTTTTGGCTTGTTGGTTTCTTGACTGGGGTTTTCTTTGGGCTGGGGATGGTGTAAGGGTCTGTATGTTTGCTGCTCTGTGACTTTGTTCCTCTTCCTCTGGGCCCTTGGTGTAGGTGAGGGCCCCACCTACAGCGTTGTGCTTGGTATAGGCAGAGAATTGAGGCCACAGAGGTAATGAAGCTCTTCAGAAAGTTTGACAGCGCCTGTGTCTTCCAGGAGAGCCCTGGCAGGGCCGGCGCCTCCAAATGGGCTTACTATGAAAGTGCTGGGAGCTTTTATCTGTAATTCCTGTCTCCCGCTGATAGCATCCGATGGATGTCTGATTTGTCGTGAGCAATCTTGCTCAGCTCTTGCTAATTCTTACAGTTGAGAGCTGTACGTGAACTGTTAACATTTGGTGAAAAGGATTTTGTTGTTTCGTTTCTGCTCTGCAGCCCTCAGGGTTTTGGTTGGCTTGCTGCCCCCTTGCCAGGTGTAGCTCCTACCCACAGCTGCCGGGCAGAGACGCTGGGCATCCTCCTGGTCCTGTTTTGGTGGTCCTGTTCGTAGGTTCCCTCTTAATGTGCCAGTTAGGCTAGGTTTTATAGGATGCATTTTATCCCACAGAACTGCTGGTGAGTCTTTTCTTTCTTTCTTTTTTCTTTTTTTTTTTTTTTCTTTTGAGACAGGGTTTCTCTGTATTGTTTTGGAGACTGTCCTGGAACTCGCTCTGTAGACCAGGCTGGCCTTGAACTCACAGAGATCCTCCTGCCTCTGCCTCCCGAGTGCTGGGATTAAAGACGTGTGCCACCAGCGCCCGGCTGGTGAGTCTTTTCTTACTGTTCCTTCTTCCTGGTGTTTAGACAAACCTGTTTTCCTGGCATGAATGAACCCACTCTGTCCTTTCTGCATATCATCAGATCTGGTTTGCTGACATTTTGTAATGTTTATGCTGAGAGAAAGCTGAGTCTGTAAGTGACTCCAGGAGCACTTGGCCTCTGGCTTCTGCAAGCAGTTGCATTTCTGCGCGCACCCCACCCCCCACGCACGCACGCCCCTACCTTGCAGCAGAGTTTGCCTTGTACAGTTCTGGAGGCTAGAAGCCCGAGATAAGTAAGGGGCTAGCTCCTATGGCCAGTTTCCTTAGCTCGTAGACAATCTCTACCCTGTGTCCCTCTGTATCTGTTGCTCACTTAGAACACCAGTGACATAGATTGGATCCCCAAACCCAGCCACATTCTAAAGTTCTGGGCCTTAGGGCCTGAACATAGGAATTTGGGGTATGTTTACCATGGTAGATGTCATCTCAGCAAGACTTCTACTTGGAGAGTTGGCATCACATGATTCTCCTCCCATTTTTGTATGGTGAAATACTGGAAACTACCCAAAGGACGCAGTAGTCTGTGTTACATATGAAACACAGCTTCGTAACATGAGCACTCTGGAGACTAAAGCAGGAGGATAAATTCACAGCCAGCCTGGGCTACATACTATGACCCTGAGGTGTACAGGCAAACAGCCAGGGAGCCCCAGTGGTCGTGGGCAGAGCAGTGATAGACAAGATGTTGGTTCCTACAGGTCCAGAGAGCTTGGTCCAAACTGACTGCTCCCTGGGTTGGTGATGGCCGTGTTGTTGGTTCACCCGTAACACCGGGATCACAGAGCCCATTGACTGTCCTGTTGTCACTTGTCTGGGTCTAATAAGATGGAGCGTCAGGATCAGATAAGTGAAGTGGATTTACTAATTGTAGAGGACAACAGGAATCAGAATTCTCTAGGTTCAACCAGTCTAGGAGGATGCAGTCCTCAGCTGATGTCTGACACTGGGGAACAGGGTTCACTGGACCAAGTGCTGAAGAACACTGGCGTCTGGGGACAGGTGGAGCTTGCGGCCCTGACTGCCCCTATGTGTCTCACCATGCTTCACCACCAGCATATGCTAGGGTGAGGGTTTCTGTGGACGTTTGCTCTATGTGTCTGAAAGTCTGTTGCGTGTGAAGATGGCAGCACATGCCTGCAGAGGCTAAAGAGGGCATTGGATCTACTGGAACCGGAGTTGTAGATGGACGTGAACTGCCAGGTGGGTACCAGGGCCAAACCTGGGTCTCGTAGGAGAGCAGCAAGTGCTCTTAACTGGGCCGTCTCTTCCGGCACCCCTCCCCCACCCTCTCCTTTTTTCTTTTACATGGTCTAATGTGGTCCGTGCTGGTCTGGTACTTGCTATGTATTCCAGGCTGGCCTCCACTTCTTGAGTCCTGGGATCAAAGGTACGTGCTACCACACCTGGCTAGTGTCTTCATTGTGCCATAGTGGGTAAGATTCCATCTTCTCACATACTTGGGAATCCTAAATGTTTTTCGAGGAGACAGGGTGGTGCCTCCAGCTGAGGCCTCCTGAGAACTGCCGAGTCAGCTTCCGCAGGTCAGCAATGCAGCCTGCACTGTCTGCTTGTGCCAATGCTATGTGCTGATTGTGTTTGGTCCAGGGCCCTGGCTAGGCCTGGAGTTTGGCCTCTTTTGGTTGCTAGGATTCCAACTGAGGAGAGTAGGCAGAGCAGGAACCACAGATGCCACTTTGTGTGTGGGTGGAGGGGCTGGGGAGGGCTGTCCTAACCTGGTTGCCCTTTGTGGTTTCCTTGGGACCTCAAGATGGAGAGTCCGTGTAGGTACCACCCAAAGGTAGGCTACCCCAGCCGTCCAACCTGGTGGGATGATGGAGGCTCTAAGAGTTTACCTTCAAAGTCCAGGCTTGTGTCTTGCTGCTCTGAGCTCTTAATATGGGCCTGTGCCTCAGTTTCCCTGGTGAAAGGAGTACTCACCTGCCCCACAATCTTTGAGAGCATCCCTGAGTCTGAGGTAAGAGTGCCTTCAGCCATACAAAAGGCAAGGCCATGGCCCTGTTTTGTATCTAGTCGGTGAACAAGTGCGTCAGGCAGGGACTGGGGATGGACAGTAGGCCCAGTGCCTCCGCTCTCCTGGACCACTGCCAGCTGTTTAGGACATCTCTGTTGATCCATGAAGATGTGGAGAGCCACCCTCAGTGTGGCAGATGTATAGTTGGATTGGCGTCACCCCCGCGTGCAACTGTTTTATCCTTGCCTAGGTCTCTGTCTCTGCCCCTCCTCTTCTGTGCTAAGCGCATAGGCAATTACATATCCCTCTCTATGCCTGTCACTGCACATCTTTAAATAGATGCTGAGACAGCCTAGAACCTGCAGCAAATCCTTATGTACCGCACAGGCTCCCAGCTCAACCCCCTCACCGCGGAACTCGCCAATCCCGGCGGCCCTCACAGCACTGCTGTGACTGCTGCTTTCCTTAACCCCAGGCTGCAGCGCCCGAGGCACTTGGCACTATTCTGAGCAGTTTTTGGTTAGTTAGGAACAAGGAAAAGAAAAGACTTCTTGCTAATTTTGTATACTTTGAAAATTCTGTTGCAATGTTTATTCTAGTTCCTCCTGGGCTGGGACACTTTCCATTTTCGTGAGAAACAGGGGCCCTGCAAAGACAGTATGTCCTCCAAGCTTGGAGATGAAGGCAACAGAATCTATGGAAGGTTCTAGGTGTGCAGGTGGCTTTTATTGAGCTGGTGTCTGATATTTCACAGCACACGAATCCTCCTGGCCCAAGTCCCATGGCCTGGCATCTCTAGGAGCTAGCATAAGGCTGGGCTGGCGTCTCTCCCTATACCTGTAGAAGGACTATGCCCCCAGCGCACACACACACAGAATGGAAATGTGTTTCCATGGTGCAAGTACACAGGAGAGTGGGTCAGGTGGCTTTCCCCAAGGTGCCCCAGAGGTGGCAGCTCTTCCAGCATGGGCTTGAAGGCTGTAGCCCCATCTAGATGAAGACCAACATGACTCTCTTGTGGCTCCTGCTACAGTGATGGCCACTGATAGACCCCAGCCTAGTGTAAACCACCTGCTTCTGTAGAGGCCCCAGAACTTCTTCCCTGAGTCCTTCCAGCTAACTCTGTTCCATAACATCTCACCAGAACTCATGTGTACTTTCTGAGCAAGTGGGTTCCAGCCAGGCATGGAGTAGAGTTAGGAGGCAGGTCCCAGACAGGCAAGGGGGTTTGCAGGCAGGCCACAGGAAGCCTAGGATCAAGCCTTGCCTTCCTATCAGGTAGGTTACAGCAACTGCCTCGCCCCTTAGCGCCTGCCCACCTGAGCTTCCATCTGCTCTGCCTGGGAGAGCCTCGGCCCTTTGGTCCATCCCTTCACCCCAACCTTTCAGGGAACCCAAAATGCACACAAGGGAGGTTCACATACTCACATCAAGGGTACCTTCCTCCCTAGAGTGGGGTGAGAATGGATTTCCAGGAGTTTGGGGCCTTAGGTGAGTTGTTTATCTCAGGGTCATGCTGGACTATAGGGGAGGCTGGTTGTCAGCTTGCCAGGGCGTCCTCTGGGCATTACACACACTCTCTCTCACACACACACACACACACACACACACACACACACACACACACACACACACACACACACACACGCACACACACACACGCTGGGGGCGTCTGCCCAGACCCAGCGACCCATAGCCACAGTTTCGAGAAGGCCATGCTGGTCATGCCAGAGGTTGGGGGCTAGTCTGTGAAGTCTGGGGAGGGAAATACATGAGGCAACTCTAACCCTAAAACAGGTGAACCTCAATGTCTTCCAGACCCAGGGTCCTGGAGCCTTGATGGGCTGTCTTGTTCCATGCACGCCTGCAGGATATATCCATTTTAACAGAGGGTCCCAGTTCTGACCATGCAAACCATAAACAAGAATGAAGTCAGCTGCCTGGAGGAATCCCTGGAGACCTAAGGCATGGCCAGAGCCCAGGGCTAATTGTGCTTCTCAGATCAGGTGTTTAGAGACAAGACTCTGCTTTGAGTGTATGAAATGTTCCATGGAGACACATCATTTGCCATACTGTGTCCCCAAATGCCATGGCTGGGGAAGCTCGAGTATGACAGAAACAGCATCTGACTTTCATAGCTACGGCCACAGGACTCCATCATAGCCATGACTCTCTGCAGGACTCTTAGAGGATCCATGGGCAGCCCTGTCCCCTACCCTGTGCTGGGGCTGCAGTGCTCAGGCGTGTGGTGGGACCTCTTGACAAGCCCCTTTTCTGCTCTCCTCCTAAAGGCGCCTTTACTGGCTGTCCCTTTGCCTGGTTCTGGGGAGAGGAAACCCATAGGCACTGGTGTAGCCATACACCATGCAGAAGCTCTGATCAGAACAGCTCGTGGGTAGCTAGAGAACACAGCTGGCTTCCATGCAGGAGAAGCCCCAGGTCCATGTGGGACTCCCCAGGTCCATGTGGGACTCCCCAGGTCCATGTGGGACTCCCCAGGTCCATGTGGGACTCCCCAGGTCCATGTGGGACTCCCCAGGTCCATGTGGGACTCCCCAGGTCCATGTGGGACTCCCCAGGTCCATGTGGGACTCCCCAGGTCCATGTGGGACTCCCCAGGTCCATGTGGGACTCCCCAGGTCCAGGTCTTTCCTTCTCCCATGCACCCCAGCGCCCCTTCAGAAATTACTGAGTGAAGCCATGCAAGATGGTGAGATCCAGAGTAGTGTCCAGTCCCTGCTCTGTTCCTAGCCAGAGCCAAGTCACGAGTTGTGGTATAGCTCGTAAAGAGATGCAAATCATACATATTTGTAAAAATAGATTAAAAAGTGCCTCCTTGTCAGCTTCCAGAGTGGTCCAGTGGTCTCACAACTGGCCCCGCTAAGAGGATTTCATTTCTGGGGGCAAGTCTTGGAGCCACCTTATAGTCATGGTGCGGCCTGCTCGGTCCAGGCAAGTACTGACAATGCTCCATGTTCTGTGTCCGCCTGTCCGTCCCAGCGGATGTGTGTCATCTGCTCAGAGCTGTGTCTCATCACGGGTCTCAGGGTTACAGGATGAGAGCTTGTTACCGCAGCTGCTCTTCTGGCTCTGGGAGCTGCTGTTCATGTGGGCCAGGGGGTCGGAGCGGATGAGGTACCTGCAGAAGGAAGATACCAAGGAAGGCCCTAGAATGGCAAGCCAGGAAGCCAGCCATGCCAGACCTGTGCCAACTGTGGGACCTGGAGCCCCATGCCTGATGCTGAGAGGCCCAGTACTTTGTACTTACACAATGTCGTTGGGCTCCAGTCTTGTGTCTGGTGGGGGGTTGATAAGTACATAGGAAAGGGTGTTCTGGTGGTCGTTCATCTCGTCTGCAAAGGACATAGCCCAGGCATCACCCAACCCCACCCTGCATAGCTCTGCTGGGGCCCAGGGACCCAGGGGAGCTAGCTCTCCAGCATTTCTGGCCATATACTGACTGGTCCTCCCTGACACCTGTCCTCAGCTCCTGCCTGCACTGAGTAGGGCTCAGCCAAAGCGAACGGCAGAGCACTGGCTCCCACCCTCCCGGGCAGCTTGCTCAGCTGACAGACAACCACAGATGGCATCTCACTAGTGGGGAGGTGGGGGGTGCTGATTTCCTGCACATGCCTGCTTCCTATAAATCTGTATGGGCAGGTAATATGCCCACATGCACACATACCCACACAGCACCTGAGTGTACTTGTACATGCCTTCACCTGCATATATAACTGTATACACTTATACGTACACTATATATACCCACATTTGCCAAGTACCTGTGCATACCCCTACATACATGCACCTGCACATATACCTATGTATACCCATAAATATGCACATATGACACACCCACATTCCTATAATACCCAGAAGCACAGCCATACAACACCTACACACTTACATACACACACAATCTGTCCCACACCTACATACCCGCATACCCTCCAGAAGCTGTTCAGGCCCTTCCTATCACCCTCCTGAAGTGCTCTGTAGGTGCACTGTCCCTGGGACTGGGCAGGCCACCTCTGATCTCTCTGATCTGAGAACAGGGACATTCCCTCCTGCGTGTGGCTATGCTCTGTTCCTCCAGGGAGAGAGACCAGTGATGACCCCAGGGTGACCATGGAATGTGACCCCTAGGATTGTGGTTGCTTCTGGAGAAGCAGTTGTATCATTGATATCTGTGCTTGACCGGCAGGTCACCATGGTGACATACAGTGCTGGCAATGGCCTTGAGCTTGCTGGCCTCAGTCTACCTACTTCATGCTTAAAGGTACCTTTGGACACCAAGGACATACAAAATGAAGGTGACTTGGGGCAGGATATCCTTCTGCCCAGCCCCTTCCACTTTTCTCCATCCTGTCATGCTAGACATAGCTGCTGACTCCTCTGTAAAACTGAGGAAGTTGCCAAGTAGCCAACTGGGTCAGGGTAGGGCATGCCTTGGCTCTCAGAGCTGCAGCCCCAAGATGAGGGAATACGGCACAGAATGCTTTTATGAAGTGGGGGTGCCTGTACCTCAAACATTCTGCACCTGGGGTAGTTCAAATGGAGCCAATACCTCTGCCTACTTCTGCAGGGTAGGATGGCCTGATGGCCCACTCTCCATATAGGGGGTGCTGTTCTGTCCCATGAGCACCAGATTTTGCTTTGCTCCCATGGTGTGGCTCATGCTGGGAGCCAAGCGGGAAGTGTGTTATTCCAGGACCAAGTCCCTCGTGCAGGTCTGGGGTGGGCAGTACAAGGGCAGCAGGGAGTGTGCAGGAGCAGGGTATTCAGTCATGTTCACAACACTCCAGACCACAGCTACTAATACGTGTCTGTCAGGGCCACCAGACAGTCATGCCGCAGGTGGGGTCAGAAGCCCTGGCTATAGAGGAAGTTCCTGGATCCTCCCTTTTTAGGTCCAGGCCCTGGGCTACCGCTGTCATCCAACCAGAGGCAGATCTGGGAATGTCCGAGACTAGCAAAACACGTGGGAGGGCAGGACTAGGTCTGGCTTCGTACTTCTGTGTTGCTAAGCTGAGGGGACCATGCCACATCCCAGCTATCATGCCAGGGTGGGGCTGTGGTCAGCTTTGTGGTACTGACTCCACCTGCTTGGCCCGGGAGAGCAAGCCAACCGCCCTGAGGCGGCCTTAGCATCCACATGCTTGGTAAAGGGAGAGAGCAGGGGGAGGACAGACGGGACAAGGCCGGCTGGATGCACTTCTAGAATGGAAACCCTCACGGGCTAGGCCTCTGGGGCAGCTCTGCTTCCCCTCACCTTCTCTCACCTTCCCCAGCCGAGTGCCACCCAGACCCAGGCCCTGGGCATCTGTGCCCATTTCCCCATGTAGCCAGCGCCCCCTACCCTGAGCCTTGCGCTCATCTCAGAACCAGAGTAACTCCAGGGCTGTGCTCTTTCTCCTGCCTCCTATGCACACAGAGCCCCTGGGCACCCTGGATCTTGCCCTTTACGGACAGGTTGGGACGCTCTGGCCACACATCATCCTGACACCACTCCCTGCTACGTGCAGGGTCCTGAGAGTCCCTGTTGCCAAGCTCCAGCACACTTTTCCCAGTGAGCACCCAGGTGATGCTTAGTGAGCACCCGACAGTACCCTGTGACCTGCAGGAGCTGCTCAAACCCTCAGCTGCCCACCTCTGCCTAGCAGTCACACAGCAAGCAGATACAGCTGGGTGCAGGGTATGCGTGCTTCATGGAAGTCACCAGGCCCAGATCAGAACCCCAAGTGGCCAGCAGAGGGCCTGGTTTCCATGACTGCTGTCATGGGCGGCAGGATGAGGAAAACCGCAAGCCCAGGAGATGCCAACACTTCGCTTCTGTGGCTGCCCATGCCATCCTTGCAAAAAGGACCCAGCTAAACTGGCATCTACTTGGGTCCAGATGCCCCTTAGGCTCCCAGAAGACCTGTTCGGAGGGGGAGGCGCCGAAGGCCATGGTTTAGTCTTTGCTCTGGCTTTGACAGGCCTCGGTGCGGGGTAGGCTCCTTGGAGGAGGTGCTCAGCAGCGTTAAAGCAGATGAGAAGCAACTACTAGATCAGCTCCCTCTCAAGCAGACAAAAAGAGGCTTCTCTGGAAGCCCGAGTCTACCTGGCTTGGGTAATCCAAGCCTACCTATGCCTGGGCACAGAGTAAAACCCTAATTTCTATCTTCCTGCCTGGCAGGCAGCTTACTAAGACACACAGGGACTTTGGGCATCTCGTGGGACTAGCCAGAGAGGCCAGCTGTTGCTGGAATGGCCTGCTGCCTACTCAGGGCAAAGTGAGATGGCACGGCACATCCTAACAACAGAGTTGGGTGAAGTATTTGGGGCTAAGCCCTGGGACCAGGGTGGACACCATCATCTGGGCTCCCAGAATAAACCAAGGAGGAAGACAGAGGGTCTGAGAACCAACTGTGGACACACAAAGCCCTCTCATCTCTCCTGGTCACTGTCTGGCCCAGCCAAGATGGCAAAGGGTTGGCACATCCCCTGTGCGGTAGCTGGTATCCACTGGAGCAGAATTACCTTGCAAATATCCCAGGTTTACCCGGTTCATCACATCACTGGCTGTTAAATTTGCTACGTCCTCTATGGAACACATAGGAGAGGCACAGACAGAAACAGAGAGAGAGACAGGTCAGCAAGCAGTGGCGGGGTGGGCACGCTGGCACAGCAGAATGGGCGCGGGGCAGCGGCCAGCTGCACGCAGACACCGTCCATGCTGGACAGTGCTGGCCAACACCAGCCACCTCAGAAGCAAGTCAATTGCAAAAGGGAATCTGGTCCTTCTCTGCCAAGCACTGGCATGTGGCGGGGCGGGGGGGGGGGAGTTTGCAGAGGCTGAGGGGCACACAGGGCAGGCACCAGTTCTGAGCTTGGTCATGTGGGCTGGATTCTGTATCTCCTAGTACTTGCCACGGCTCATGCTGAGCCTTGGTGGCTAGTTCCCTGGAACAGTGGGTTACCCAGGCAGGGGTACTGAGGGGATCATTAGATCTAAGGCACTGTAGGGACACTTCACACTATACACATGGCTGGGAAAGGCCTGGGGTGGTCACGTTGTTCTCAAAACCCTGGTCTCAGTCATCCTTGGGCCTACCCCTTAGTGAAGTCCAGCTCTGCCTAGTGAATATGCCCAGAACACCCAATATGCATGGCCAGCACACGGCCCAGCCCCAGTGACCCCTGGACAGCTCCTCTACTTGGGGGAGCCTCTAGGGCCCCATCTCAGGTGATGGTAGATGTCACAATGCGGGGTGAGCCTCAGCAATGGTTGAGTATTGAGATGCTAAAAGAGTGGGGGGTGGGGCACAGGTCGGAATAGAGATCTTGGCCTTTGATCTTTGACCTCATGAGCAGAGGCAGCCTGGTCGAAGTCACTCAGATGTTACCCAAAGAGAAGATGGCATGGATGGTCCCCTAGGACTGACTCTAAAGCATTAGAAATGCAATGATGGCCTCAGGGAAGACAGTGGGATAGACAGAGGTATGTGTAGGCCATTCTTGTTCCCAATGACTATGCCCTACCCTCTCCCTGGCAGGGACCTGCCAACTCCTTGTCTCTCACGAAACGGGAAGACTGGACTTGTATCCCCAATGAGGGCCATGAGCTTTTGGGGAGCTGGCTTGGCTCTCCACTCCACTCTTTCTCTGGGTCCAGTCCCTTACTTTCTGCTGGGGAAACTGAGGCTCCAGAGTAGAACCGGCGAGCCAGTTTGTGAGTTATTTATTCTGCATCCTCTCCATACTGGGTGGGCGTAAGACGCTCCTCTGCCCTTCACTGAGCAGGCCCGAGTGACCATTGTGGCCATGCCTGCTGAAGGAGTCAGGTAGATGTGAGATGCCCATCAGATGCTCTGCTATGGCCCTACCTGTCCTGCCGCGTTGCCTTCCCTTACCATAGCCAGTGGTGGGCAGCCCCAGGTGCTTCATCCGGTTCTTGACCAGCTCCGAGAGCTCCTGGCGCTCAGAGCGCCGGTAGAGGCTGAGCCGCTGCTGGGTGATCCACTCTGTGGCTGCAGGCGCCTTCCCCGCCTGCTTGTTGCTCTTGCGACTCAACTTGCGGGCCCACCGCAGGCTCTTGCGGCGCAGTAGTGGGTGCCCCGCCGGGTCGGCACTGCCCCCGTGTCGGCCATGGGCGCTGCCACTGCCAGAGGCAGCCCGTGTGCCCCAGGGCCCCTTGGCCTCCCGAGTGTCCTCGAAGTCTTCCATGTTCACCGAGATCTGAGACTGGGCAGGCAGGAGGGGCTATGGGCTGGGGCCCCTTGTGCCTTGAGGTGCCAGGAAGGAGATGGGCTTTGGACCCACAATGTGAATACCAGCCTTCTCCAGGCCAGAAGGACTGCGGGGTCCTGTGTTCCCACCTGCACCCCTCTCTGCCGGGCCTCCTATATCTGTTCAAAGTTTGATCCAGGATGGAGCCAGCCTGTCCCCAGGGAAGAGGACCCTTCATCACATCTGGCCTGGCATGTCCTGGCTTTGCCCTAGCATTGGGGTCCCTGCCTGTACCAGTTTCCCTATATGCAGGTGGGGCAGGGGTCCCCGTCAAACACATCCCTGGGAGTCAGTGCAAGAGAGACAGGGTGTGGTGGGTTGTGCATGACTGAGTGGGCATGTGAGGTGCTGGGGAAAATGTGGGGACCCCATCGGGCAGTACCTTAGAGAGACTGAGAGGGACAATGAGGGTGTGGGGGTCCACTAGCCCATAGGGGACCTGCCACTCTGGAGGCTACAGTGGGACCTGCTGATGGTGCATGAAGCTGGGCTAGGATGAGGGGCACACATGATGTGGGTAAACCCATGGATGATTTCCACCTGCCTCAGTTTCCCCATTACATAGGAGAATGGTAACTGCTGAGAGCCACCCCTCACCCCCTAAAGCCCAGTGGCCAACACATTTTCATGTCCTGCCTGCTTCCCATGGGCATGTTCAAGGCAGGGAAGAACTCCATGAGGCACAGGTGAAGCAGAAACTCCACATGGGGCCTGGGGGTGCTCACCTGGGCTCTGAGGTCATGGGGCTGTAAAGGAAACCAAAGGCTGTGTGGACCTGTGGGCACGTTTGCCCCTACCCCAGTGTGTCTTAGTCTCTTAAAGTCCATGCAGAACATGCAGGGGCGGGATGGGAGGCGTACACGCCACCCACACAGGTAGACCCAGAGCACCCCCGAGACCCACCCTACCAAGTCCCCCTGGAGGTCTGGGCTGCTTCCCAAAGTCACCCTTCTTCCCAGAGTAGCAGCTGCCCTCACTGGAGGCTTGTGGTTTGGACCCTGAACCTGCCTGGAGGAGCCTGTGGCAAACATGGGTGACACACAGGTCCCCAGCGCTGGACTATGAGGGTTAACACAGCAATGGGATGTACCTCAGAGGAGAAGACATGGCACTCGGTCCTGTAGATGCCGATGGGGATCTCAGCACTGGAGGAGCAGAGTTTCTGGAAGAGGCGGCCGTAAGTACGGATCCAGAGGTCATCCTCAGTTACCTTCATCTGCAGTGAGAGGGAAGCCCTCAGCTGAGTAGGGCTGCAGGCAGTCCAAGAGCCCCAGAACTGCAGTGACCAGGACGCCAGGCCTGTGTCAGACGCACTGAATACCTGGCCTGCACTTACCGCACAGAGGTAGCCGGAGCCTGGCGTCGTGTCAAGGCCCAACAGCAGCCTGGTGATGGTGATCATGTAGTCCTTCACGAAGGACTGTGGGGCAGCAGGGCCACGTGAGGCAGATGGTCCAGCCTCAGCCCACTCAGAAGCCACCTGCCTGCCAGCCCAGCACATGAGGTCTAAAACGGACTAGGACCCCAGACCCCCAGAGTATCCCTGAGGGCAGCGAGACCTGCTGCTCCAGCAGGAATAGGTCTCGGAGTCTGGGGAGGGCTGTCCAGAGCAACGGGACCAGATCTTGGATGGAGAGCAACTCTGGGCTCTGGTCCAGGGACCATGGGACCCTGCCCACCTGCCTCCACATCCCAGCTGACCTGGTAGAGCAGTGTATCCAACATGCTGATGCTAAACACTCGGCCAGCAGCAAATGGCAGGCGGAACATGAAGGCCAGGTTGGAGCCATTCTCTCGTTCTTGCTGCAAGAAAGGGGTCCTCAGATGGCACATGGGATCATGGGTAGCCATCAGAGAAAAGATATGTACGTAGGGCGTGTCCATGTGTGGTATGCATATACATATCTGTGTGGTATGTGGATGCATTCATTTTATATGAATTTGTCGTATGAGCATATGCGCATGATATGTATGCATGTGTGTAGTATGTTCATGGTATGTGTACATGGATGTGTGTCTCTCCATATGCCAACAGACTTCTGGCCAGCAGGCTTGAATATCCGGCTGCATCTCCCAGACATACTCAGGGACAGAGCCTAGGGAGAGACTGGGGCTCTGAGAAGATACGTCCCTGTATTTGGAACCCAGGGCCTTGCGCACACTGGGCAGAGATGCTACACTGATCTTGAATCATATTTAGGATGTCACGGGCACTGGAACATGTCAGCAGGAGGGGTAAGCTGTTCATGTTGCTGCTCACTGCACCCTTCATATTTAGGATGTCACGAGCACTGGAACATGTCAGCAGGAGGGTAAGCTGTTCATGTTGCTGCTCACTGCATCCTTCATATTTAGGATGTCACAGGCACTGGAACATGTCAGCAGGAGGGTAAGCTGTTCATGTTGCTGCTCACTGCACCCTTCATATTTAGGATGTCACGGGCACTGGAACATGTCAGCAGGAGGGTAAGCTGTTCATGTTGCTGTTCACTCCCCCTTCACAGGGTGCATGAAGCTTCAGACACTGGATCTGATGGCTCACAGCATGAGAATTTTTGGGACACACTGTCATAGATACAGTGGCTCAGAACTTCAAGGTTCTGAGGTCGAAGTCTAATTAATGTGGGCTTCCAGTGGCTGAAGTCAGAGCCAGCTGGGCCTTGTGCCCTTTGGAGGCTCTACAGAATCATTTTCCCCACCTTATCCAGCTCCTGGGGATGCCCAGAGTCCTTGGCCTGCGGCCTCTTCCTTCATCTTCAGAGTCAGCAGTGGAGCCTCTTCCTGTCTCTGATGTCCTGCCTGCCATGTCCCCTTCTGACTATGTGGGGCCAACATGGACATGGAGGGCCACTTCCCGTCTCAAGTTCCTTAGCAGGGTCCCATCTGCCAAGTCCCTGTTTCTGGAAGGGGCCATTCATAGATTTGGGAGTGAAGGTAAGCTTTCTTCTGGGCCCCTCTCCCAGGAAGCATCCACAAGTGAGTCAGGTGAGTGTAGACACCCATGGCCAAGTCAGCCCACACTGGCATCTGAGGACTCTTCCCATAGCATAAGGGATTTGCTTCAGTGAAAGGCACACAGAGGCCATCAGGAACAGCAGCCGTTACAGGTGGCCTTTCCATCAGTGAGCCGTCTACCAGCCACATCTTCCCCATCGGAAGGAAGCTCCCAGGACAAGGTGGCAAAAGTGCCTCTCGTTTTGTCCTTCCTGGCACTCCAGTAACAGAAGGGGGCAAGGGTCACTGCTGGGTCAGAGAGTGAAACGGTGGGCTTGGGTGTGTGGGCTTTCCTGGCCTGTGAAGAACCGAGCATGTCTGAGCTACCACATGACAGTTCTGCAGTCATGACCACTGCCTGCCCGCTGTGGCGTGCGCCTTGTGAAGATGAACCACTGTGGTACCTCAAGCATTCCTCAGAACAGCACTAAACAGAAGTGATCACCCTACAGCCCCAATGAACCACTGTGGTACCTCAAGCATTCCACTGGCTTTCCTAAGAACAGCACTAAACAGACAGAAGTGATCACCCTACAGTCCCAATGAACCACTGTGGTACCTAACTCAAGCATTCCACTGGCTTTCCTAAGAACAGCACTAAACAAACAGAAGTGATCACCCTACAGGTCCCATAACACTGGAAGGAAAGGGGGGGGGTTTCAAATGTTAGTTTCTTTCCAGAACATTCCCTTCTGTTTCAGACATTTGTCTTCCATGTGGACAATCCTACAAGGCTTGATGCTCAGTGATACACAGGCCTTAACAGTGGGTGTGACTGGGGATTCTACCATCCTCGGGAAGCCATGGCACCAGCAACCTACCTCATCTTCTTCCTCCCCACCTTGTCTGCCCAGGACATCATTCATTATGGATCCCAGCCCCTCAGCGTCCGCAAATCCACTACCACGGTGTCCTGACTTCTTCAGCTTGTCCTAGTCATTTCTACTGTCACAAAGTCACATGATGGGCCCAGGACCATTCATTCACTGCCTTGAAATGGACAACAGCTGACAAGCTCAGGGTGCAGAGAGGGGCCAGCCACCAGGTCCATGCTACAGGGAGCAGATGAAAGCCCCACCCTCTACTGCTGACATAGAGGAGTGTGGGAGCCAGTTACTGCTGTGTATGCTGCCTTCGCCCTTTTCCAGGCTGCCTTGAGGCCCGTGAGGAGCTGGGTTGGCCCCAGGTGTGACTGTGTCTAGGGACACAGACTCTACGATGACTCCATGCCTGGACACCAGCCTGGTCTACTCTCAGGCACACTGGAAGGGCCCTTGTGAGGTGTGGGCCAGGGTTCTGAGTGCCCATCACATAATCCCAACACCTTTAACCATTTAGGCATACCTTGACCTCTCCCAGTGTGGACCCGGATGCTGGGCAGGGCAGAGTCCAGGGTTGTGAGTAGACTGGACAGCAGGAGCCACATTTGTCTGGGGCTCTGCCCGCTTGCCTCGCACATGCTTCTCTGGCTCAGCCAGACCCCAGCCTGCCATGGCCACTTCTCCTTCAACCTAGCTTCAGGCCAGTGCAATACTCATGTGCAGTGAGAAACCCAGGAGCTTGTCTCTTCTGCCTGATGTCTAGAGTCAGGCTTGGCCCTAGGTCCTTTCCAGTTAGTCATGCTGACCTCCGGCAACTCTCCACAAGCACACCGGCCCGGGCTGAACTTGGGACTCACATAGAATAGCAAGCATTGGCAGCTGTGGCCTCCTCATCCACACCTGGCCTCTGCTGTCCTCATCTTAACACACGGCTTCCACTGCCCTTACTCCAGTGCTTGGTCATCTCTTGTGGGGATACGAGGCAGGGCCACGGTCACCATACACCAGAGCAAAATTCCCCATATTCTAGTGGGTTGCTGGGTTGTTAGTGTGTCTCTAATGCCTTACTGAGTCTCTGAATCCCTGAGTTCTACATCTGGCCCAGCTGATACCCTCCACGGAGTGGACACCTCTCATGGAACTCCAAGGTCAGAAGTGCAAGAGGTTTTTCCCACTCTCTGATCCTCCGTGCCCAGTACAGAGTCAGTGTCTGGCACTTGGTGGGGTGTAGGTATCTGTTACCAGTTCCTGGCTGATTCCATAGAGGATTAGGACTGACTTGCAGGTGCTCAGGGAAGTAGCCCCACAAGGAAAGCCTTGCATCAGCTGAGCGTGTCTCCTTAGCTCCTGCAGGACAGAAGCCCATGCTCCCACAGCCCTGCTCCCCCCTTGCCCCTGGTCTCTGGGCTCTTTGGCAAAGGATGGCCCACCAGAAGGGTCCCACTTACCTTTTCCAGTTTGGAAAGAGCCAGAGAATAGCTGTCCTTGGCACGGAACTGCATGAACCGCATATTGGAAGGGTGTGTGAGCTCTGTGGTGATGCTGAGGCTGGGGAAGAGCCTGAGGGAGGGATGATAGGGGAGGTGTCCTCCAGTCAGGGCTGAGGGTCTGAGGAGGAACCAGGGCTGTGGGAGTCTGTGGTGGGTCTTATGGCTGTGATCAGTGCTGTGGGGTCTATAGTGAGTCCTGTGGTCATGATTGGGTGGCCTCTTGTTACAACTGTGGGTGTTGGTCTCTGGTAGATCTTGTGGTCAGGGCTGTGGGGTCTGTGTTGGGTCCCATAGTTACAGAGGTGTAGTCTTTTGTGGGTCCTCTGGTGAGGTCTGTGAACTCTGATGGGTCCTATGGTCATAACTCTAGGTTCTATGGTAAGTCCTATGGTCATGACCGTGGGGTCTCTTGTAGGTCCCACGGTGAGGGCTGTGAGGTCTGTGTTGGGTCCCATGGTCAGGTCTGTGGGCTCTGCTGGGCCCTTTGGTCGGGGCTATGGGTTCTCACAGTGGCTCCACATCCGTTTCTTTGGAGACCTCACTATGAGGCCCGGCTGCCATGGGTCGGGTGCTCACCGAAACATGGTCTGCACATTGACAATGGTCTTGGCGTCTGCCATGTAGTCCTCTTCAGCACTCATGGTGCTCTCCTTGTCCACCACCACCAGGTTGTCGGCATAGATGATGCCACACTGTAACAGGCTGTCCAGGCTGCACGGGACAAGGAGTATGGCCGTAGGATCCCCACCCCACCAAGCCCCTCTCAATCCCCCCCTTCCCCCTGGGTCTGGGCCAACTGTTCATTTGTGGAAGGGTGGTGGAGGGACAGCAGGCACTCTGGCCATGGTTGTCCTCATCTTACTTGTCCACAGAGCCCTCCATGTAGTAGACCATGGGGAAGCAGCAGATGGCCTCCAGGAAGTGGTGGTCTGGCCTGTGGGGACAGCAGAGCTTGGATGTGCCACCTGCTCTATGGTTTATCCTCTCCACACTCTTATGGCCCCCAAAACATGGGACTGAGGGGGATTTAAGGGCAAAAAGCCTGCCACTTATTCGACTCAGGGGAAACTGAGGCCCTGGACTTGCTGAGGTTATGCAGCCAAGACTGGACCTTGGGCTCTGGCTGCCATGCTTCGGGGGTCCATGGATGAAGAAAGGAGCTACGGTTTGGGGAATCCTGTGGTCTTGCCAGCTGGACTCTCAGTTGTGGGGACATGATATAAAGAGGTTAGAGGAGAAACTAGAGGAGGAATCTGCTAAGGCCATCAAGATAAAGGAGGCATAGCCACAGAAGACAGCAGGGAATGGGCCAGCAGTCCCTGCACAGAAAGTGAGGCATCATGGGGATCGCACACTCTCTCACTTGTTGTCCAGCAGCAGAACGATGGGGTTAAGTTCCCGGCGGGACCGATAGTAGGCGCGCAGAGGTACGATGAAGTTATAGAGCCCGTTGCCTGCTGTCTCAGCAGAGACGATAATCAGCTTGTTCTTGAATCCATAGGCTTTGGCATCTTCATAACTGTTGTGTTTGCAGCCCTGGGGATGAGGGAGAACCCAAGCTGGGCACCACTCTGGCTGTGGGAGAAGCTGGTGGGCCAACAGCAGGGACGTGCAACGTGTGGCGCATGGGAGCCCTGGGGAGAAATGCGGCCACCAGCCACCAGGGCTCCTCCATCTAGCTGCCCCGAAAGTCAGTGTCCCACAAAAACTTGGTGTAAGCCAGCAATACAGCATTTAGTTACAGAAATGCAGAGGGCCAAGTCATGTGTGCATATGTATGTGTGCACGTGCATATGTATGTGCACGTGCTCACACACATGCACTGTCCACCACAGAGCCCAGAATCAAGGCCACAGGCAGCATTTGATCCTGCTTCCTAAAGCCCCTTCCCCTAAATGGAGTGAGACGTGTGTTGGAGGTGCCCGGTCCCAGTCTACAGCTGGGCATGCACAGAGATGAACTGAGCATCAAAGGGCTCAGATCCCTAAGCAACATGGAACAGTATGGTCCCTGAGTAAGACAAGAGGCCCATGCCTCCACCACGTGAATGCAAAGCAAAATTTCCTCTTGGTAACGTGCTAAGGAGACTATTGGAGGGATCTAGAATTAAGAAAGCTGATTCAGAGTGGGGCAGGATAGAAGCCATCATGCCCATCTCTCTGCAGTGACTGTACCATAGAAACAGTCACTTTCACAGTAGGACAGCATGGCCAGAGATGTGGTCAACTGTGCCCCCCCCCTGCCTCAGGGTGCTAGGCCAGATGCATGGGCTGACTCTGTCACGGATTGAGTTCTATCACCCTAACCACGGGATCCAAGCTCCTCAAGGGTCAACAAGGGATCCTGAGGAAGGCAGAAAGGGAAGTGACAGGCATGCGATGGTTTAAGGAATGGCAAGGCCTTTGGAGCCCTGGGTTCCCCGGACAGGAGGCTCTGGCTCCGCCTGACTCTAGTGGTGGGTTATATGAAGAGGGACGTAGTCCTCATCTGGGAGCATGCAAGGTGTTTGGGAGCTCAGGGCTCGGTGGTCCTAATCTGCTTCCAGCCTGTTCAGAAAAGCCTTCAGTGACATCAGAGCAGGAGGCGGAGAGCAGGCAGGTGGGGCGCGGCAGGGAGGGGTCAGCTCCTGCTCGATTGTGCAGCACCGACAAAATACATGGACACCAAAGTGGGACGGCAGGTGGCCACAGCTGAAGACTCAGCCTTACCTTGTCTAGCCGGAGGCAGCAGAAGGGAGCTTTTACAGGCAGGAGGTGGCATAAGGTCGGGGAGCTGCCAATGTAGGGTGAGTTGGGGGGGTAGCCCTTCACATACCTGGATGAAGACAGGACCACAGCATGGCACCATGGCAACGTGGCCTGGCCACTTCAAAGCTACCCTTTACCTGGAATACTCATGGAGTCACCTGGTACTAGCAGAGATGGCTTGCTGTCTCCATCTCCTACACCTACCTGGGACAGCCACATGAGATGAGACCTCAGGGACCTGTCCCCGCTTCCCAGGCTAGGGCTAGGACAGGTTCACCAAGGTCCTAGAGTGGCTCAGACTGAGGAGGGGTGCAGAGGGGCCACCTGTGGCTGCTCCCCTCTGCAGGACCCAAGGAGGGCTGGAGTGTCCTCCCAACAGTCAGCCCTCAGCTACTCAGATGGGGGGCAGGGGGCTAGCTTGTACCCCTTATGTCCCCAGAGAAAAACTCCACACACAACATACTCAGTGCAGACATTTACATACATACACATGGAAAAACCAGGAACAGATGCATGCACACACATACACGCATGTGCACTTGTACACATGCATACAAAGACACATGGTCACATAAGCAATTCCCACCCACTTCCACACATGTACTCTCTCTCTCTCTCTCCCTCTCCCTCCCTCTCTCTCCCTCCCTCATTCTCTCTCTCTCCCCTACCTCCTTCCCTCCCTCCTTCCCTCCCTCCCTCCCTCCTTCCCTCTCTCTCTCCTCCTCTCTCTCCTGGAAGCTGAGAATACCAGGGCTATAATCACCAGTCCCCAGAGTGATGCCCATGGCACCCCAGGTGATAGACAGGACTGGGTCTGTGCTTCCAGACTAGCCTCTCAGAAGGCTGCCTCTCCTCCTCCTCACCCTACAGTGTCCAATACGCACCATACCAGGCTTTGACAGTGTGCCCTGGCCACAACTTTCTATTTCCGTTTCCATGTGCCTTAAGGGACACAGCCACAGGGACCAGTGTCCTTTCTACTTGCAGGATCTGGGAGCCCCTCCATTGACCCCTCAACTTTAGAGCAGTTCCCAACAGGAGGATGCCCTGACTGAGGTCAAGGTAGCTAAACTGCTGAGGACTAATGTCCCTCCTGTCTCAACCAGGAAGATTTGGCCTCAGACCACAGCCAGCATGGCCACTTGAGGTAGGCTTGTAGTCTCTGGTTCTGGACAAGGTCTTGCCAAATCATCAGCCGGTGACTTCTACAGACCCTGCCCCAACAATACCCACCTGAAATGAGGGGGGCCACACCCCACAGTACCAGGAGGAGGTGACCCAGCTATGACACTAGCTCAGGAATGTCTGTGGGTCACTACCTGGCTCTATACCAACTCATGGAGTAACCAAGGGCAGACAGCTCAGTGTCTGAGCAGGTATGGGGCTACGCTACTCTATCAGCCACTCTGGGTCTGTGAGTCCCATTATCTCTGACTCCAGCCAAGGCCAGGGGAAGGGTACCAGCCTAGTACACCCCTGCCAGCATGCTCTCTCATGTACTAGGCTTGGGGTGAGGTGGAGGTCCTCTGCTCTGATTCCCTGTGTTTTGGGGCCCCCTAGAAGACCCCATTTGCAGAGCAGGGATTGTCACTATACCCAGCACCAGGGACCTTTCCCTCCCACTGAAAGCTGAGCTCCACTCAGCACTCACTCAACCACAGAGAGGCCCTCGTCGTCTGAGGGCGTCACCTCATCCTCTGACTGGTCACTCAGCAGGTCACAGGGCAACAGCGCCGAGCTGTCTGCCACCTCCAGAACAGGTGCAATGCTGGGGCGCCGACTCCCAGAGCCGTTCTCCGTGGGCAGAGCCAGCTTGCCGCCGCCGCCCACACCACCGCCACCCTGGGAGGGCCGGCAATCTGTGTTCTGCAGGTCCATGGCCACTGTCCCTGGACAGAGGGGTTGAACCTGACCAGCAGCCCTTCCCACGCCCCTCTCTGGACCGGCTGTGTGGCCTTAGGGATTTCAGGACGTCCCTGAGTCTCAGTTTCCCCTTCAGGACAAGGAGGGGCCCTGAGGGGTGGTGATGTTGAGTAGAGCTCTTGGGCCCCTTCCAGGGTCCCATCCAAACTGGTTGCTGTGACTGACTCTGACTTCCAGAGGACCTGGCTAGGGAGGGTTGTCACACAGTAACACAGGAGCAGCGAGGCCGTTTTGCACCTGCTGATCTCTGTTCTTCCCACTTCAGGCCCTGGCTGCTAGCTCTGGGTTGGTGGTTGGCTCAAGGACGCTACCTCTGAGAAGTGGGTGGAAGGGCTTCCCGAGTCGCTCGGTCTCAGGCGTGCGGGTGAGCAGATAGCAAGCAATGGATAGAGGTTGGGCTGGGCAGCAGCAACCCCACCCCCAAGCTCCTCCTCAGGCCTGACCACCAGGGCAAGCTGTTACTGCAGGAGCAGCAACTTCAGAGTCAGGCAGCTGCTGGCACATGTCACACGTGGCTGACAATGTGCCCCACAGAGTCAAAGCACATGGTCCCTAGACACCACAGGCCGGGCATGCAGTAGGTGCTGATTGGTGTCAACTTGTTTTGTGGGTCACAGCTTGGGGCTAGCACCACATGAGAAGGTCACTGACCTGGATAACCTGTGGGTCTGTGGCCTGAGAGGCTCGACGACCTATTCCTGTCCCCTACTCCTCCCTGACACATGCCACAGGTACTACCTTCTGAGTCTTGGCCCAGCCCTGCTCAGGAGGTCACCTGAACCAGTTATGGAAGGACAGAAGTCCCTGGGAAGAGCCCAGAAGCTAAGCTGTTGCTAACTTCAGACATCTACACTTAGTGGATGCCAGGGCCTTCATCTAGTCAAGGGATGCTCTGGGCAGAGAGAACTACATGGGCCTTTGGTCAGTTTAGATACCAAGGTGCCTCACGGGCTGTAAGTTACCCAGGTAACTGGTGCCCACCAAAACTCTGATGGGGGGTACCCCAATTGGATAGATCCACAACTCGAGGCCTGGAGAGGCTCACACTGTCCGAGAAAGAACTGAGTCTCAGGGGTCAGGGGCCTCCCACCCAGAGGCAGGAAGGGTGTGGCACACACCTTTGGAAGCCAGCATTTACCACCTGCATGCACCAGCTCACCCATAGAGGCAATGATGCTGTGCACTGGCAGCCGGGATGGTCCCTCGTACAGTGCCTGCCCTGCAAGACCGCGCCTCTTCTGCTTCTCCTCCTGCTTGAAGATGAAGGCCGAGTTCTCCTCCTTGGTGATGTTGATGTAGAAGCAGGTGTCGGAGGCGGCCAGGATGTGCCGGGGGCCTGGGTTCAGCAGGATGCTCTTGTCCTCCTCACGCTTCAGCCCAATGAGGCACACACCATACCTGAGCAGCCGTGGCCTGGAGCTCAGGGCCACTCTTAGCACCCTGCGGCTCAGGCTGCCCTCCTGAACAACTCATTCTCCTGCCAGGGACCCCGCCTGAACCTCTTGGACAAGCCCTTCGCTTGGGTGTTGGGGACTCGAGGACCCCAGGCCAGCCTCAGGAGAAGCTCCAGAGAAGAGCTATGTGGCGGGTTCTTACGTGGTGTCCGGACTTGGCCATCCTCACCAGGTGAGCGGAGCCAGGCTACACTGTCCTTAGCTGGGAGACTCTGTGACCTCCTGCCCCAGGGCCCCACCCATGCTGACCTGGTCCTGGGTGGGGAGGGTCAGCAGCCCAGTGGTGGCGGGAACAGCAGGCTCCAAACCCCGTATTCAGCCCCGCGTCCCACGTACTTCTTGTGTGCGTGGAAGGCTGCGTAGGTGAAGCTCTTGCCCTCGTATTCTCGGAAGAATTTGCTGTCACCCATGCGAATATGGTACACCTCGTTGCCCGAGCAACGCCCATACATGCGCTGCCACTGCTCTGGAGACTCCTGCCCTTCCCTACCAGAGTAGCAGGGTAAGGGGGCTGTCCCCCTCAGAGAGGGCTGCCCCTCCCACCCTGCATCGCCCTGGACCCCTTCCTCTGCCACACTACAGGCCCTCCTCCAGGGAGCCCGCCCTGCCTTGTGGGGTTGAGCGGGGCGGCCAGGGCGTGGTAGTCGGTCTGGCACAGGGCACTCACTGGCCACGGGACGTGTGCACCAGCAGGGTGATGAGGGTGGAGGTGGCCGGGCAGATGCAGTTCAGGGCCAGCATGGCGTACTTGCACTCCTCCTCGCATACCACGTGGTCTGTGGGGACTGCAGGGTCAGGGCCCACCACCCCTGCTGTGTGCATTCCCTCCCCACAGCACCCATGGCTGTCTGGGTGTGTGAAGGCTCTCCTGTGTGGTGCCCTTGGAAGCCCTGCCTCATCAGCCAGCTCCTACACAGCAGGGGTTCAGCACCTCGGTGAGCTGCACCTGCATTTCTGGGGTCACCACAGCTCTACCCAGGTGCCCTTACCTGCCCCCCCCCCCCCCCCCCCCGGTGGCCATCCTGGGCCCTGTCCATAGAGATTCTGATCGGAGAGTGCTCCCGCCTCCCTCGCCAACTCTGGCTCTGCTCCCACAGACCTCGGGCCCAGGTGGAGGCCAGATCATCTGTCAAGGCTACCCCTGGTAGCTCCCCATTCTCTGGTACAGAGACCTGGACGGCATGTTATCCCAAGGGGGAGCCTTCCTTGAGCCTCTGAGAGGGAAATTCACCCCCACCCGCCACGCCCTTGCAACCTGCACACCCTTGTACCACAGGGCCCCATACACACCGGCAAATTTGACGTGAAACTTGTTTTCGGGCTTGAGGATCTGGACGTAGAGGGGACAGTTGGGAGCAAAGTCCTTCACAGCCCAGGCTCGAAGGATGGTCTGGTGATCCTGGGGGGGAGGCGTGGTTGGTGTTGGAGGGTCAATACCAAGGGTAGGCAGACAGTGCAGGCTGGGGGTGGGTAGTGTTCCTGAACTCACCGCAGCCGTGCGGTCCACCTCATTCCTGCTGCTGAGGATAAAGCAGGCCTCTCCATTGTCCATCCTGTAGAGCACCAGCTGCTGAGTGAGGCTATGGACCAGGGCCTCCCCAGGAGGAGATGAGGAGGCCAGGAGGGGCCCGGTATGTGAAGGGTGAGGGAGATGGCCCAGCAGGGGACCTTGCTGAGGTAGTCAGGCCTGGCCCAGTACGTCCCAGCATACAATCCTGCAGTGCATCCCGGGTCTCCCAGCCTCCCCAGATTTTTCTGGAACATTCTGGGCAGGTCAGGATGCCTGGACACCCATGGCAGAGTCTAAGGTCAGATGCTGAACAAGGCTCATGAGCCAAGTCTGCCCTGGAGACACCCATTGGCCAGTGGCTCTGAGCCACACTCTGCCACATCCACCCACACTCTGGCCTCTGCTTGCAGCTGTCAGAGGCCTAGGGTCAGAAAGAGTGGGTCCTGTCCTCTATAGCAGCTGACTTTACACGGGGGACTGCCCGGCATCTAGGGCCCATCCCCTGCTTCCGGCAGGCAGCTGACTTTACATGGGGGACTGCCCAGCGCCTGGGGCCCATCCCCTGCTTCCATCCACTCTGTGTTGGAGCACAGAGCCTGTTCCCTCTTCTGCTTGACCACTCAGCAGCCTGGACCCTGGTGGTCATTTCTAGCTCCTTCCAGGTTCCCAGGAGCCTGGCTATAGAAACAACTCGGCCCTGCTAAGAGCCAGTTGGAGAAACCTTTACCTCACAAGCAGCTTCACACCTGCTCCACGAAAGCTGTGGGTGCCTCCCTGCCTGGCTGCCACTTCCTGCCCTGTCTGCCAGTCTAGAGCTGGACACAGACCGCTGAAGTCTCACGGGAACTGGGCAGATTCCCTAAAGAGGCTGCGTGCATGAGAGCCCCAGCTCAGGCTCCTGGGGATGAGGGACCTGCTTGCCCTTGGCCCTGTATCGCCTGTACCACACAACAAAGGGTGCAGGAGCCTTCTGGAAGGAAAATGTGGCTCGGGAGGCTTTGGGGGAGGCGTCCCAGATGGTGCAGTAGCACATTCCGGTTACACGCTAACAGCTCACTCCTGCCACCTCAAGTCACTCTGTCAACTTGTCTTTAAATCAAGAGCCACCCTCAGCCCTCGTGTCTTCACCATTGACTCTCAGCAGCCAGTATTTTCCACCCCTGGTCTATTTTAAGCTCCCTGAAACCGGGCAGAGAAAATCCCTAGACTCCGAGCAAGAGAAGGAAAGGTACCCAAAGGCAAAGCTCACGGCAGAAGAGCACAGCCTGGCCAGGCGAGCTTGCCAGGCTGCCCGGCAGTGACAGAACACAGGGGTGGAGCTAGGCTCTAGGGCCCCCTTGCCTGGACCTAGACCCTGAGCATTCCACCCACCCTGGCCCTGCCTCCACCTGGGATCCCTGCCTGCCTCAGGCCCTGTGCCAGGCTGTGCCTATCATGGCCCTACCTCTACCTGGGGGGCTCCCGGTGGCCTCAGGCCTAGGTCTGGCTGCGCTGTCCTGGCTGGCACTCACTTGGCTCGCATGAGGTCCTGGTCCTTGAGGGCAGAGCCCTGGAGGTAGATGACCCGCTGGGACCACAGGGGAATCTGCAGTACCCTGCGCACCTGGATATCCATTTCGGAGGGACACAGGATGACCACGTAGTAGTCCTGCTGGCCAGGCTGTATGTCAGTGCCTCTGAGCAGGATCCTGTCCCCCCAGCCTGTATTATTTCCTGGGTGGTGTCATTCCCAGGGCTTTATGGGAACATCACAGACCCCCCCACCCCAACACACACACTGGATTCCATAACCGGGTACTAAGAGTGCTCAGGAACCTTGCCCAAGCATGTGGCAGTCTTGCACGGGGTGGGGGGTTGGGGGTCGGGATGGGGGAAGAACTCAGGCTCTCCAGGGTTGCCCACAGCCTTACCTGGAGCCGGGGGTGGGCATAGAACTCATTCAGGAAATCCATGAGGAGGTCAATCTTGAGGGAGCTCACACACAGGACCACGTGCTTTTCCGTCTGGGCTCGGTGGCGGCTGTAGTTGCCTCCCGACTTCTGTCGCTCCATCCAGAGGTAGACAAGCTCTTCAAACTGTGGGGAGGGAGAAATGAGCACCGGCGTCCGGGGCAGGGGGACAAGGGGCGGGGCGGGCTGTGGAGCAGCAGTGGCATAGGGTGGGGGCTGCCCAGGGTGGAAATGCCAGGTCCTGAGGACAGAGTGAGGCCAGGCCCGCTCGGCTGGCAAGACGTAGGAGTGATGGGGATGGTGACCCTAACAGAGACCAGAGCAGGACCAGGAGATGGCATGCACAAAGCCGTGTCAGAAACCGTGGTGTGTGACTCAGGTCACGGGAAGTCCTGCTGGCGGCCTCAGAAGCTACATGACCAGTAGTGGGTGCTGGAGCCTGTACTCTGGACATCTGGACAGATTGAGAGTCTTGGCTCCACCTATCAGCTTTCCTGACAGTATTGGGAAATCCCCAGCATGGAGGTCAGGGATTTCTCTCCAGTAACAGTGACCAATCAGGTTTCTGATGTGGAAGTCACATGTTCAGTCCTTGCCAGTGGGGTCCTCTCAGACTGGGTGGGAAGTTATAAGGATTGCCAGTTCCACACCTGTCTGGGTCACGTGAGCTGCACAGCACTGGCCCTGCCCAAAGCCTCACTGTGCCCAGGGCTCTGAGGTCAGATGTCCACTGCCTGTTCCGTCAGGACCACACACGGCTTTAACCCATTTCTGAATGGACTGGGGCAGTAGGCCCTGATCACTGTGCCCACTCTGTCTTCACTCACAGGGGTCCTCACCAGGAGACCTGTGGCGGGGGTTGGGGAACACAGGGACCCCCTGCAGGTGGCCCATGGTAGGCACTGCTGCTGGACAGCCCAGGCCTCAGCTTCCTCACTTGGAAAGCGTAAGAGCCTGTCTTGTAGGCTACGGTGTGTGTGTGTGTTTGTGGGAGGTAAGAGCTAATGCAGGATTGGCAGTGACTCCTAAAGTGTATGTCTGCTCAGAACCTCGAGATGGGAGATGATTTGGAATAGGGGAAGGGTTGTGACTGTAATTTGTTGACCCGAAGCCATCTTGGATTATGGTGACACCTAAATCAATACCCACGGGGTCCTTGTACGTGGAGTAAGGGCCACAAGTCATATGGAGATGGACATAAGGTGGAGGATGTGCTCAGGGGCCACCACGACTGTGAGAACTGCCAGATGATGGCCTTGCACATCCCCAGGGCTGCCACCAGCCCCACAACAGCTACGTTCCGACCTGAACACCCGTTATCTGAGTGTTTGGACATCCAGAATTAAACACTCAACCCTAGACCCCCATGGAGGAGAGTGAGCCTCAGGGTCTCAGAGCCTCTGAGAAGGCAAAAAGGAGTTCCATTCCTACTCCATTTCAAAGTGACTCTGGGGTTAGTGGGTCAGGGGCTCATCCTCACTTGGCAAGGGGACTGGGGTATCCCGACAGAGTCCAGATAGAAACTGGAGGCTGAGAGTCACATGGCTGGATGGGGGCTGCCTGTCTTCAGCTTCTGCTGGGTCAGGGTACCATGGATGAGTCACTGAAGTTGAGAAGTCAGGATGGACCCTGATGGGATGGGGCAGCATCGTGAGGACATGACCCATAGTGGGCGAAGGGGCTCCCAAAGGATATGTCCTCCTGGAACCTAGGACTGTGACTCCATTTGGAAAAATAAAATGGGGGCTTTTGTAGAGATCAGGGTGTGGCCTCTGTGTCAGGAGCCTGAGATGATCTTGATCAGGATGACCACCCGGAGCAGTGACAGCTAAGTCTTGGGTGTCACACCATCAAAGCCCACACTGGAGAAGTTGACATGGTTTCCCAGTCCAGCAAGAAGAAAGGAGAAGAGTGGGGGAGACGGCGAGCAACAGAGGAAGGAAGACGGTTTAGAATAATTCATCTGTGAGCCAAGAGATGCTGAGGCTGGTGGCCGAGGCAGGGCTAACTCCATGCCTTTGGAGCCCTCTGAGAACCATGCCTCCGAGCCCAGGTTTTGGCCTGTGGCCTTCATAACTGTGGAGGGCAGGTGCTGGTCAACAGTGTGTGGCCACCTTTCAGGAGACTCTGGAGATGCCTGCTCCAGGGACTCTGAGGCAGAGAGGGACCAAAGCAGAACCATCTTCACACATGAAAGGGAAGCACAGTCACAGATCAGACGCAACAACCCAGCAGCATTCAACAGAGTCCAGCATAGCATGCAGGACGTCACAGGTGTGTCTCAGGAATTCAAGGATGGTTACTATTAGACAGGACCCTAACAATTTAAGGAGAAAACACTCAATTGGACCGATAAAAAGAATTAAGAAGATTCTATGGGCTGCTCTTCCAGAGGGTCGGGTTCAATTCCCAGCAGCCACATGGCAGCTCACAACTGTCTGTAACTCCAGTTACAGTGGGTCTGGCACCCTCACACAGACTTACATTCATTCAGACAAACACCAGTTTTGGAATAATAAATAGATCATAAAACGTTGCGGTCTCAGCAAATTGAGACAAGAAGGAAGGTCTTTAAGCAGAGGAAGAACATCTCTCCAAACTCAGTGGACTGTCAGCAGACATCACTGGAGCCGACAGTGGGCTCAGAGGCTCAAGGACTGGAGAGAAGTGTGGACTGTCACTCCTCAGGGACAGTCCGTGCAAGCTGATCAGTGACCAGCAAAGCTTGTTAGATACACACTCCAGACATCGACACTAGCAGAGCTCAGAAGTAGAAATGTGATGTCTACACAGGACAAAAACTACAACGTGGCCTGAGGAAACGTAACAAGAGCTTTACACAAAAGCAAAACAATAAACACCAGGTTTTTAACAAGGTGTAGTGGCAAATGTCTTTGATCCCGACATTCCTGAGGCAGAGGTAGGAGGATCTCTGTGAATTAGAGGCTACAATCTGTCTCTTGACTACACAGAGAGATGCTGTTCAAAACCCCTCTTCTTCCCCCCAAAAAAAGGGCCCTTGAACAAGGCAAGGAACGAGGTCATAGACCAGTAGCTAGAAGCAGAATGCTGTAGGACCCGTTTCTGGACACAGAAACACTAGCAGATGGGGGAGAACTGCCTGGAAGGACAGTGGTGGGTGAGAGGGGCAGGGTTAGCACACTCTAGGCTTTCAGTGCGGCATACTCGGGACAGGAGCAGTAAGGGGGTGCCTGCTGGGCTTGGGGCTCAGTGCTGTGAGTCAGAGATGGGACGAGCCCAAGGTCAGAACTCAGGGTCAGCAATGGCGCTTCCAGTTGCCCTTCCAACATGTATTCACGACCCCCATGGCTCCTCCTGTCCTTATGCAGAGTGCCTCCTGATTGTCCCTGTGTAGAGCATGGGGACTCACCTGCAGTGGGAGCACCACAAGGGTCACGCAGATCAGGATGACCACCAAGAGCTGGGATGGCCAGATCTTGGGGGTCACATCACCAAAGCCCACAGTTGAGAAAGTGACGATGCAGAAGTAGAAGGAGGTCAGCAGGTTCAAGTTGCCACCGGCTCGCTCCAGGTGCTGGATCCCACAGGTCCTAGAGATTGAAGACTGGGGCTGCAGCCGCGGGGGCGGGGCTGCAGCCGCGGGGTGGGGGTGGGGGCTGCAGCCATGGATGGGAGGAGCTGAATGGCAAGAGACAAGGTTGCAGTATAGTGGACTTCCTGAGTTGGCTGCTGTGGACAGGGAAACAGGGCCTTCCCACCTTCCCTGCTCCCAGAGGGGTAGAGCTCTACCAGTCTTGGGGACCCTGTCACCTAGGCCCTAAGTGACGCATCCCTGATCTTTGGGATACTGAGTGAGGTTGTAGAGCTGGGCCTGAATGCCCACCACCCACAGTGGCCACTGGGCCCTGCACTGAGCTGAAGTCTGAGCCTGGGAGAGCTGCTCACTCTATTCAGCAGTAAGGAGGGGGGGCGGCAATGGTGAGGGGTGCGCTTCAGCAGCAAAGGGGTGTGGCTTGCAGCAGTGATGGTGTGGGGCGGGGCTGCCCTGAGCTCTGCCAGCCTATCCTCCAGACCAGCACTCCTAGCCAGCTCATCCTTGCCTGAGGGATAGCAGGGGCGACCGGGCCTCTTGAGGACATGGAGCAGGGCCACTCCACAGGCAGACGCAGGACCAGAAGTTCCTGACCATCCAAAAGACCCTGGCTGTTTCTAGACTCCATCCTCAGATGATCATCAGACCAAAGGGCCCCCCTCAGCCCAGGGGTCAGTTTCCTTCAGAGCTGTAAACACAGCCAGCTGGTCAGGCACCTACAGGTCAGGGTTATGCCACTGTATCCTGACCTCTGGACACAAGAGTTTGGAGCTAAGTTCTCAGTCAGCTTTGTGCCCCTTCTGTCACTGCCCCTTGACCTATCTTCTAGGCTTGAGGTCTGTTCGGGGAGTGGGCTAGCCATGGCCACCTGACGGGATGGGCCGTGAGATGTCTAGGACACTCACCCCGTGAAGACGAGGCACAGCAGGGTACAGAAGAGGATGAGCACCTGGTTGAACATGGCTGACTGTGTGCGCAGGATGGCACGGTGGAAGTCATTCTGCAAAGAACGACTATCAGAAGTCAGGGCCCATGCATAGCAAGCAGAGATCTGCTCACGTGCCATCCCAGGGGAGGGCTACAGGCAGTGCTGCCCTGGACCAGTCACCCAGACCTCAGCTTGGTCTTAGGATGAGCCATGCCCTGGGGTGAGATCCAAACATGCCAGACGGCAGATAGGCGTGAGCACCTTTGGCTTTAAAACTTCACTATGCAACCGGAACGGGGCTGAGTCAAGGGCACTGGCCAGGAGGGGGCAGGTCACCAGGGACACAGCCGTCATCCTGGTTTTCATTTATAGGAGATAGGCACATTCCAGCAGAAGCTGGCCATCGAGTAGCAGGAGCTTGCATTCTTTTGGCCCTGGTTTCTTGCCCAGTCTGGTTGTGCTTGCTCATATCCCCGCACGCCCTGTCCCACCTTCTCCTTGGCTCTGGAAGAGCTGTCTTCACAGGAAGAGGAAGCTCAAGGCTGGACTGGAATGCATCTCTGTGGCATGCAGTCTCCCGGCCACTACCTGGTCCCACCAGCAGGTGGGGAAACTGTTCCCCCGGAGCTGGCAGGGGACAGACTTCACTTACAATCATGTTCTCCAGCGCATGCTTGGCCAGCCAGCAGTTGAGAAACACGGGGATGAACAGGTTCCGAAGAGGTGGCCAGAAGACCTGTGGCGTGTGGGGGAGAGGTCAGGTGGGGCTTGGGCATCGGAGCTTGGGGCTGGGGCTCACCCACCGTGATGATGAAGGGCAGCGTGTTGATCATCTCCAGGACGAAAGGAACATGGAAGATCTGCTCCCAGATGTTGCCCTGGGGACCAGAGGTACTTCAGAGCCAGCAAGGGGCAACCAGGGTCAAGGAAGGGAACTGGGGGCTTGGAAGATAGGGAGAGGTAAGGGTTGGAAGTGGGCAGTCTTCGAGTTAGGGATCAGTGCCAGAGGAGGGGCTGTGGAGAAAGGGCATGGTGGGGGAACCGGTAGATACAGGGAAGAACTCACTTTGTAGCTGAGGTAAATGAGGAGCATGGTCTCTAAGAAGCTTATTGTGGCCACAATGACCTGCATGAAGAAAGCAGAGAGACATGGAACAGGGCCTGACCTATGAGGGTCTCAGCAGGCAGAGTCCTAACAAAGCTGGGTTCTCAAGTGTGTAAGTGTGTGTGCGAGTGTGTAAGTGTGTGTGAGCATGTGAGAGCACATGTGAGTGTGTGTGAGAGACAGCATATGTGAGCATGTGAGCATGTGTGTATGTGTGCCTGTGTGTGAGAGAGCACACGTACGTGCGTGCGTGCATGTGTGTATGTGTGCCTGTGTGTGAGAGAGCACACGTACGTGCGTGCGTGCGTGTGTGTATGTGTGCCTGTGTGTGAGAGAGCACACGTACGTGCATGCGTGCGTGTGTGTATGTGTGCCTGTGTGTGAGAGAGCACACGTACGTGCATGCGTGCGTGTGTGTATGTGTGCCTGTGTGTGAGAGAGCACACGTACGTGCATGCGTGCGTGCGTGTATGTGTGCCTGTGTGTGAGAGAGCACACGTACGTGCGTGCGTGCGTGTGTGTATGTGTGCCTGTGTGTGAGAGAGCACACGTATGTGCATGCGTGCGTGCGTGTATGTGTGATCATGTGTGCTGTCTGCATCCTTGCTGCTGAAGTAAGATGTTCTTATTGGAAAGACTTGCAGGTAGCTACTCTAGGCCCTAGGGTAGGTAGGTAGAGGGCAGCCCAGACTCCAACCCTGCTCTGCTGGGGCACCCTGTGGACAATCAGGGAAGATGAAGCAGGAGGGGTGGGGACCCTGAAGAGCACCAGTAAAACCAGCATAGGAGGTGGAGGTGGCCGTGAGGGGATGAGGCTCTGGTGGCAGTACTCCTTGGGTACGAATGGAGCCTCTACTGCAGGCATCTGTGAGTCCTAGGGGATCCTCCAGGCTAGGGACCCAGGCCTCTGGGACGTGGTTGGGGAAGACTCCCTCAGAAGCTGGCCTGAGTTACTACTGTCCCCTCCTTTTACTTCCCAGGAAGGCAGTATGGTTTGGTGGGTCAGCAGGAAGGAGAGGTTCTCATTGAGGAGGAGATGACAGGGTAGCATGCCCTCAGTGGTCTCCAGGAAAATGATAGTAAGAGTTGCTAGGCCTGAGTCTTTGCCTTCTGAGCCTAAGTCCCTGCTTACCCAGGGAGCCTGAGTCTCTTGCTTGCTGAACACGGGACTTCTGTTCTCTTGCTTAACAGGAGTCCTCCCTTTACCGAGTCTACACAAGCAGGCTCCACTGTGCAGGGAGGAGGGGTAGGCTGGGACTTACCTGGATCACCCACAGAGCCATCTTCCTCTCCACCCATAAGATGGGAGCCCTAGGAAAAGAAGGGAAGTGAGGCCGGACAGGCTCACACTGCCAGGGCACTTCCTCTTTTGGCTCTAGAAGATGTCACGAAGGTAATGAGGGCCTAATGGCTGGATATGGAAGGTGAGTGGAGGAGCGGACACATGCATTGTCCTAAATTACCCCCCTCTAATGGGATATCCTTGGTATGGACTTCAGGGTGCAGGGCTGCAGCTGAAAATGCCCCAGGGAATTTAATGGACCTCAGGTTGACTGGGCATTAGCCGGATTGTTAAACTCCCAGTGTGGCCTGACAAATGGGAGCCAGGAGCCAACTCACCAGTGGAACTCGGAGGACGAGCCATTGAAAGTGTAGTTATACTTCGTGCAGCCCCAGCTGTGAAGAGACAAAAGCACTGGCCCAGCCACAGACCTCCGGGGCCGATGCCAAGGGCCCTTTCCAAAGCTGCTGTGCGCTCAAGGCAAATGGAAGAGGTAGCCACTCGCTCACTCAGGGCTCACCGTATGTCCCAACTGCAGCTGATGCTCTACGGCACAAGGAGCCTCCCTGGCCTGCAGCGGCTGTGTTGGGAGGCTCTCTAAGCAAGATGCATAGAGAACACATTCCGGTCTGGAGATCTGGGCCTGCAGTGAGGTGCTGCTCAGGAGAAACTGAGTATTTAGCCTTTGCTGATGACAAGCTCCAGGGATGGGCCCTGGACAACCACAGATGGCCCAGTGGGGACACTTACACTCTCTGGAAGCCAGAGCTGCCTGAACAAGCCTGCATAGTTCTTGAGAGTCAGAAAGAACATTCTACCTCAAGCAGATGAATTAATGAGCCTCATATCCCCAAGCCACTTGAAGATAAGCATAGCCAATCACTTTGAAAGGAGCTGATGAGAGGTACCAGAGCACAGTCAACATGCTAGCTCTGCTCCAGGCCATAACCAGCATCGGGGGCAGCTACCACAGGGACCTCACTGCTCACAGAACCCAGAAAGGGGCCGCTCCTATCCTCTCCTGTTCTCACCTGAGCTTTATTGGGGTTGTTGCAGTCGGCACCCACAGAAGTCTGAGTCATCCACCCACCCTCTCTCTCTTCCTCTTGTCCAACATCTACCTATTCATCCTTCATCAGCAATCACTCACGTGTCCACCCTTTACCTCGTCTGTGGTCCACGCATCCACTTATCCATCATCTGATCTGTGACCCATGCATCTGCTTGTGCTCATCCTTCTACCCAACATCCATCCGTATGTCTATCTGTGTTAATCTCGTCTGTGGTCTACGCACCCATTATCACCTGATCTGTAATTCATTTATCCACCCGCTACTGCTGAATTCTCTTTTCCAACATCCACTCAGCATCTCATGTCCTATCTACTCAACCATCTACCTATCTCTACCTATCCAGCCATCACTATCCATCGTTCACCCATCTTTCCATCACCAAAATACCCATCTCTCCCTCCCACCCGTTATCCCTGCCAGTGGTGGCAATGAATACAACAGACTTTGGTCCTCTGGGGAGGTGGAAGCAGAAATCCTGAGCCTTTGGGACTCGAAAGATGAAACAGATGCAGCAAAGAGTGTTTTAAGCCAGTTATAGCCCCTATTTCTCCTCAAACAACCATGGCAGGTTCTTCCCTCCTCTGACCTGAACAGTGATAAAAGGTTTGCTCTCAATAGCAAGTGAGAGTCTCTGGTCTGGGAGGCCTGGTTTTCCTGAAAGTGGGCAACAGATGAAAATAAGGAGTTGGGTAAAACTTTGCACATAGGCTTCAGGTCTGGCCTCTTGCCTGGAGATTTTCAGGACCCCAGCAGTTTAGGAGGAGCCTGTTCTGTGTGGCCCAAGTGGTAACTCCATGTTGGCAGGACCCACAGATGGCCCAGCAGTGGCACCCAAACCCCAGGCTCTGTGGCATCTGAACCCACTTGTCAAACCCATTGGTATGCAAACCAGAGGCCAACGGAGTTCAGGAGAAACGGCTCCAGAAGTAACTATCAAAGTGAAGGGGCAGGCACAGCATCCTCAGCTGAGGATGTGGGAAACTAGGAAATGACGGATGCAGGAAGTCAGAGCTGGGGGAGGAATGTCACCTCAGAATAGAATCGAGAGAATAAAAGGGGCAGAGTAGGAAGTAGGAGTGACAAGCATGCGGGTGGCCCACGGCCCAGCTTCCCATCCCCACAGGACACAATTCAAGACAATCCTGGCACTGAGGGCCTCTGGATCAGCCCAGAGAGGAGCCGGAAGCATGCCAAGGCATCCCCAGGCACCGAGAGACCAGCGGCCTTCAGGGACTCTGCAAGATCTGGGCCGGGCAATAGCACTGATGTCTCAAGGCAGCCAGGCAGTGGGAGCACTACAGAGAAGACGTCAGAGGAGGACTTCCCAGCCTCCCTCATCTGCTGGGCTCCTGTAAGCACGCCTGATAGCAGGCACCTCTTCCTGAAGGGGGTCGGAACACATACACTGTGGCTGTGTGGACAGCTCCACACTGGGGGCCCCTCTTTTAATGCTGACCACTCTAGGTATGAGCAGTGCCTGGACGTGACTATGTTGGGGTCACACTAGGGGAAGAAAAGACTCCCAAAGCTCTGGTGACAGGACTTCTTGAGAGTCTGGTGAGGTGCTGGTCACAGGTCTCCCTCGCAGACACCCATAATGCCAGTGGGGTTTAACAGAAAGAAAGGCTCAGCCTCAGAACCCGGCCTCAGCCCCACAGGTCACCCACCATCCAATGCCCTGGTCTGGGTTGTCGAGCAGGACACGGACGATATACAGCAGGCAGGTGAGGAGCTTGAGGGAAAAGTTGAACAGCCGGATCCTCAGGCCTGCGGGGAGGGCGACATCAGGGCAGGAGCTTCAAGGAGCAGGCCCACCCACTCTTCTGGGGTCTCTCTGCAGCCCCTCCTGAAGGCCCAGCACGGACCTCCATCTCACGCTGTACCCCAGATGCAGGGGACTGAGGCATCTGCACTCCCCAACCAGACTCCTCTGGCCACTGTATAGATGAGGCGCCGAGGCTTGGGGTGCAGGGGATTTCCTGAGGGCACTTCTCTTGGGAACAGATCTAGGACACTTGGCGCCACAGCCTTACAGCCAAGTCCCTTCTTGCATCCCGGGTAGGCACACAGCAGCCAAGCTTAAAGTTGGGAAGGACTAGAGGGCGTGTGGAGGTTGGGTTTCCCAGCGTGTGGGCTGGAGTGACGCAAAGGAGGGGACCCAGCTGGCTCCCAGGGACAGCCTAGCCCAGTTCAACCCAGCGTCCACCATGGGGGCCCATATCTCCACAGGTCAGGAAACGGGAAGTCAAAGTGACCTTTGCCCTCTGCCCAGCTACCTGGCGCACTTCCTCAGGCTCCCGACCCTGCCCACCCCTCTCCACCCAGAGCCCTCCGGGCCCCTGACTCACTGGATCTTTGGTTTTTGATGAAGAACAGCTTGAGCCTCTCTTTGCAAGTGTTCTCATTGACATAGAATTCCACCTGGACCCTGAGGGAGGAGAGGAGTCTGAGGCTTGGGGCCAGGGGTGTTCGGGCCCAAGGCAGGGGCTGGAGCCTAAAGCCAGGGCCAGAGCTCCGAGACCAGCTGGGTTCCTTCAAACCACAGGGACAGAGAGGAACTTGGGAGCCATCGGTCCTCCCAAAGCCTCCCCTTGGGAGTCACCGGAGTCACCTGCAGTCACCGGAGTACCACCCTCTCAGCATCCCCAGCTCTCCAGGTCTCAGGGAGACCAGGCCCGCAGCACCCACAGAGCTTTGGGCATTGGGTGCTCAAACCTTACCAAGATGTTCAGTGCTGACAGTCTTTATGTGTGGTGGCCTTTATGTATTCTGAGGCCTATGTTCATTGTGATCTCAGGAATGGTCAGAAGGGCCAGCAGGAAGTAGTCATCCATGAGCTGTCCCTCTAGTTACCCTGTGGACCTGGCCTCCACCCCCCCCCCGCCATGGCACTGCACACAGAAGCCGGTCTCTGAGGCATGGCCACTCTTGCATTCCCTGAAGTCCTAAGATCACGCGGAGTAAATAGCGAGTGAGCGCCCGATTCCTCCACTTACGCTGCATTGCCACACCCAGGAAGAGGCATGCGCTCACTGCGTATAGCTCTGCGGCTCCAAGCTTCAGACATAACCCCGTGCTCTACCCGTCCCACTCAGGAGCAGGAGATGAAAACGCTAGTATTGGCATAGGAAGGATGGTGGGAGTCTGAGTTTGCAGCCTGGGCTCCTGCAGCAGGTGTGGTTAGCTTACAGCGTTTCCCTCTATGAACTGGGGCAATCATGCATCCTTGAATGGTCCATGGCTCACTGTGAGGAACACAGAGCTCCCTGGACATGTGGCTCCTACCAGTAAAACCTCAGTATCCTCCCACCACCCCGCCACAGGCTGAAACTCCCCCAGGAAGGAACGGGGTGGGACACAGCGCCAGGGACCCCAGCACAGCGTAGGGTCACAACAACTCAGAAAGGCAGAGGGACAGTGGAGTGTGCCTTGCAGGCATGTCTTGCTGCCTGGGAGGAGTTTGTAGGCACGGAGAAAGCTGCCGCCTCTCTTAGGCACGGAGACAAACGTCAGCTGAGATCTCTGTAGTCTTTCCCTTGTCACTGTTACTGTCTACTGGGGAGGCCACACCAAGCCCAGGGTGGGGGGGCTCTGAAATTCACTTTCCTCTGACCAGTGCTGGCTCTGTGAAGACAGTTGGAGAGTCTAATGTCAGTGCCTGACTATTCCAATAGCCCATGAAGCATTTTAAATAGTCTCTATCAGGCCAGTGAGATGGCTCAGAGAGTGACAGCATTTATCACCAAGCCCGACGACCTGAGTTAGACGCCCAGGTCCCACACAGTGGAAAGACAGACTGACTCCTGCAAGTCGTCCACCAACTGTAGCTGTTGTTGTTTGTTTCATTTTTACTCTTGGTCTTTTGGGGGATCCACCACCCAGTTCCCAAATAAATACACGGAATCTTATTATTACTTATAAATGCCTTAGCTTGTCTTAAGTTTTAGTCAACTTTTTGCCTCTGGGATTTTACCTTTTTCTATTTCTGCATGTCTTTTCTTTCCTTCTTATTCCTCGTCTTGCTGTGTGGCTGGCCCCTCGCTTCCTCCTCTCCTCCTTTTCCTGCTCCTCTTTGCTCTCCCTCTTACATGCTCTCCTTCTACTTATTCTCTCTCCTTCCAGCCCTGCCCATTTCTCTCTCCTGCCAAGCTATTGGCCATTCAGCTCTTTATCAGAAAAATCAGGTGTTTTAGACAGGCAAAGTAACACAGCTTCATGGAGTTAAGCAAACACAACATAAAAGAATGAAACACATCTTTGCACCATTAAGCAAATATTCCACAGCGTAAACAAATGTAACACATCTTTAACTAATATTCCACAGACACCAACCTTCACATGCATGCCCCAACAAGCACACACCAAATAAGTAATTAAAGGTAATAAAATATATTTTAAAGTCTAATAACCACCCCTAGAGCCTGGTGAGTTCAGACCACTGTGTGCACAGCAGCCATGCCATGTGTCCTGTCAGTGGGCTGGGGGAGTGGCCTGGGTCACAGTGGCTCTGCCGGTCACAGAGTGCCCCGAGGCTCCAAGGGCCTGGCCCTTTCACTTGAACCAAGGCACAATTGGGGCTTGGTGCAGGGCAATGACTGGGTTCACCCTGGATTGCACAACAAGTCAAGCTTCCTGTAAGGACCAACCTAGCGCGAATGGCTGGTGTACCCTGGTACATCCCACTGTACTCCCGAACTTCATTTCATCTGATGTCCCCACTGAACCTCAGTACACTCTGCTGTGCACCTCTCTCTCTGAAGGGGCCCGAGGCTAGGTGGACAGGCTGTGCGGGGATGGGGGCAGGGAAGTCGACAGGTGGCTTGAGGGACCACCTGTATCCTATAAGCATGCATGAAGCTCACACATCACTTTCCTGTCCTCCCACCCCCTCTGCGATAAAGGCATCAATGATGGAAGGGTCTTCCCACATGATCAGCCTCCCCCGCAACAGCCCCCTCAGCAGGTAACCAAGACCTTTGCCAAGGCAACAGGCAGCAGTCTCTTCTCTATCTCCCTGAGAGCACAGACCACCGGCTTTCTGATCCACTGTGGTTCCCCTCTCCTATCTTTGGCTCTACTCCCATGACCCCTAAATGTAGGAGCATCAGGGATGGTGGTGGGAGGCTTCTGCCACCTGCCAGGTCAAGGCACTAAATTCTACTGGCCATGGGTGCGCACCCAGTGGCTGGGCGTGCTGTTCCCTGCTATTTTGTGTCAGTGTAGACATGATGAAGTATCTGTAAGGTGCTATGTGTTATGAGTTTAATCCCTAAGAGGCAAGAAGAAGGTAGGAACTAAATTCACCTGTGGCGTGTGAGCGCATGTGCATGCGGGCATGAGAGTGCACACACAGGCGTGTGGGCGTGCGTGTGTGTGCGCGTGTGTGTATGTGCATGCGTGCGTGTGTATGTGTGTGCGCGTGTGTGTATGTGCATGCGTGTGTGTGTGTGTGTGTGTGTGTGTGTGTGTGTGAGACCCTCCCTCTGTCCCTGCACCCTGCTGCTCCATCTCACTAGACATTCTTATGGGACATTCCTGAGCACTCAGCCCTCCACCCCATGCCCGTGACCACTTCCGGCTCCACTGTCCAGGGTCCTGGGCCCTCAATGCTGCCTTCTGCCCTTCTTGTCATTTTCTTAGGAGCATCTTGAGATCAGAAAAGAAGCCACCATGGCCACTGAACTGCTCAGTGAAAAACCAGGAACCTGTGACCCTCAGCCCCGCCCCTTGCTGGCATCCTCCCCAGCTCTGGAAAGCTGACCCTGACAAATGACATCGTCCCTGAACCAGTGTGACCCCGACTAATGACAGCCCATGAGCAGAACACAGCCACCTCCCAGAAGGGCTGTCCATTAGGCTGCCAGCACCCATTTGGATGGCCCCAGGTGTTTTGTGGGCAGTGCCCTCTTATGACCGAAGGTGTTCTCCTGGAGGAGTCACAAGGCCTGCTTGGCTCCCTTGAAGTCAGAGCTCTACAATGCCCGGGAAATCAATGAGTCTTCCTTCACTTTTAAATTTTTAATAAACTGTGGCCACTCACTTCCTCTAGTGCCACACAAAACAGGGATCAAAAGTATCCATTTTACTCCAGTCTGTGTTTAAGGCAGGAGGTGTGTCCGCCCTAGGGGAAGATGAAGACATAGGGCATGGTCCTATAGGAGCATAGGGAGCTTGGGGATGACCTGCACCTCTCACAGATCCTGCTCACAGTCAACCAAGGCCTTTATGAAGTTCCTGGGAGTCCTAGAAACTGTGTTGGCCCAGCAGGCAGAGTCTAAGGACTGAGAGCCAGGGCCCACTGGGAAGCCAGACAGATCAGGCTCCGCCTCTCACCTGCCTTTAGCTTAGCTTCCTCACTGGGAATGGGAACAGTGACGGGAGCTGCTTCCCATAGTATCACGGAGTACTTAGAAGATGTAAGTGCTTGTCAGTTAAGATGTATCCAACTGTGTCCCTTGGGAATGAGCTCAGAGAGAGATATAGTGAGAGATAATGGGTATGGGGCCCAGGACTAGCACCTCATGGGGTGGTGTGGGATGGAAGTTAATGCAGTCAGAAAGCCACCTCAGGCCTAGACTGTTCTATGTACCACACTGCAAACTCACAGCCTGGCTACATGCACACCAGTCATGCCCACAGACACTGGATAGGGCACAGGTCCAACCACCAGTCTGAGCCGGAGCAAAACACATGACCTACCCTCCTGAGGAGTGAGAGGACACAGCCATGGTACTGGCTTCTTGGGTGAGTAGGTAAGAAGGACCCAGAACAGGCTGCCAAGGGCAACTAAAACCTGTTCCTCCCTGCATCCGCAGAGGGCCTGCCAAGTCGGAAGAGATCTGATCCCTGCCAACCCCAAGTCTCCATAATCCCCAGGGGAGTTCGGTAGAACTCTATTTGTGGCACACTTCTGTGACTCTAGATCCTTCTTGAAGGACCAGGTGTGGCTCACAGCTCTCCTAGCTTCTCGGTGCTGTCTTAGCCAAGCTCCCCAGGAAGACCCCCCCATAATGCTCCAGGTCTCAGCCCCATCGAGCCTGGGGGCAGGCAGCGGGAGTTGGGCTGGCCAGCTGTGGGTCCTCATCTCCACCTGGGAAACTGAGAGAAGGGATCCAGTGTGGCCTGGGAAAATGGGCACTGGCTTCTCAAACGAACTCTCCTGGCTAGGGGGGGCTTGCTTGGGGTTCTACCCTCTGAAACTGCAACTCCCCAGTCGACTCTTCTGTAAGTTACTGTGGCTATGGTGTCTCATCACAGTAATAGACAAGTGACTTAGATGGGCATCCACCTCTGGGGAGCCCAGTTCCTGTCTGCAGATTCTTCCCAAGGGGACCACTAATCATGTGTCTCCAGCCCCAGCCCCCAGGAGCAGAAGCACCTGTTGGTTCTGGGAAGGGCTAACCAACACTGTCATGTTTCTGCCTGGTTCTTGACACTTGGTACTGGGCAAGAGTAGCCTTTCCCGTGGGGCTGGTTCTCAGGGGTATGAGGATGCGTTTGTCCCTGAGACAGTCCCTCCCCTGTGAAGCACTTACTGAGAGAGGGAAGAGTCCAGGCTGAAATCTTCCACATGAACCCTGGAGACAGAGTGGACACATCAGCATAGGAGGTGGATGCGGCTCCAGGACATATTAGGACTCTGGGCAGTATCCCAGAGCATTGGGGTGTGCCAGAAGCACACACACCTGTAACCAACGGAGCCTCAGACATGATGGGTAGTGTCAGGGCAGGCAGCCTTACATGCAAGGCAGGTAGAAGCCAGGCCTACCCCCTAAGAACTGGAGAAAGCAACAGAGGCCATAGATGCCGGCACATGCAGGCTCTGCACTCTGGTCAGAGGGAGTGACAACCACAATTAGGGTGGGGCCCTACGTTTAGCCAAGAGACAAAGCTCTGCCTCTCTCTCCCAATTCAACATTAAGTGTGACTCTGTGTCCAGCCAGCAGTGACCCATCCAGTAGCTCTGTAACAGAGGAAGCTGCAGACAACTGAGTAGTCCCTATACAGGATCACGGCTGGGCACAGGAAACCTTGGATGGCCTGGCTCTTGGTTTCCTGTAGCTGGGCAGGCCAGGATTGGGAGCTGGTGTTTCTTGGGTGACTGAGGTGCACTCCTCTACCTGACCAGCTCTAGACAACCTGACCTTGGGTTTCCCTAGACTGTCCTGCCATGGAAAGGGCGCTCAGAGTCAGGGTGGCAGGGGTCAGCAGCTCTGGAGCTCCTGCCTGTGTTGGGTGCTGACTTCATGTAGTTCTGGGCCAGCCCCTCCATCCAAGGACTTCGGTGGGCCTCTCTCAAAGCAACTGCTTTCCAGGTGAGAAAACAAATATTCAGCAGAGATCCCCGAAGACCTCAGACAGCATCCTGTTCAACTTATGTTGGGACCTCTGTGGGGTCAGGATCCTTCTTCACATTCCAATATGTGGTCCCTCCTGGTCCCTGGGTGGACAAGGGGAAGGTTGGACACATGCTTCACAGAGTCAAGGTCCCCACTGGTACGGCAATGACTGGACAGCTCTGCACAGTATAGGGGAGCCCAGGGTATAACAACTATATTAGGAATAAAATTGCAGAAACTAAGCTGAAATGGGATCCTAAGGTGGAAACGACACAGACTGGCTAGTATACTAGTAGGAAGAGTTCAAGACTCAAACCACAGAGAGGGAGAGAGAGAGGGAAGACTTTGTGACTACCTGGGAGGATGGCCCGAATGTGGGAGAGGCCTTGGAGTAGCCCATTCACATCTAACTCCCCAAACCTGAGAAAATCAAGTTATGTGGCTTCCACTCCCAGTCTATGACAGCTCCCACAAACTCAACACGCTTCAAAAGGAAACCTGAGTTCATTAGAGTGACCCCATACCTGAGGCCAGTATCCACGTATATTTCAAGATTGGCATACCAGGAAGGGGGAGAGAGCAGAACACA